GTTGCCGTTGCCGTTGCCGTTGCCGTTGCCGTTGCCGTAGCCGTTGCTGTTGCCGTTGCCGTTGCCGTTGCCGTTGCCGTTGCCGTAGCCGTTGACGTTGCCGTAGCCCAGGTGTCGGCCTCTTGGCGGCGGCGCGCCGCGGTTGGCCATCAGCACGCGTGCATGGTTGGCGGCTGCGTCATCACGCTCTGCCAGGCGGGCCTCCTCTGTCAGCAGCATAGCCAGCAGCTGATCCTCGCTCACTGTCTGGTAGGTGAGGATGGTGGTGACCGTGGTGTACTCAGTCGGCAGGCTGTTAGCACAGTGGCCTTGAAGTCCAGGTCGGTGACAATGTGCCCAGCGAGCTTGAGGCGGTGGCGCAGCGACGAGGCCCTGGTCATGAACTTGGTGATGTCCTCTGCAGGGCTCTTGGACAGGCTGTTGAACTCGTTCTTGAGCAGCACCACGCGAGCCTCGTTGGCGACCGCGTAGGCCGAAGCCAGCTGCAGCCAGGCCGCCCGCGCCGACGGTGACGCGTCAACTGACTCCACCAGGTGGTCAGCCACTGCGAGGGTGAGGAGGGCCATTGCCTTGAAGTCCTTCGCCTTGAATGCTGCCCTGGACCGACGCGCCGCTTCTGCCGCTGCCTCAGCGGCCGCCGTGGTTGCTTTGTCGATGGGCGCGCCGTCCGCATTCACACCGGCCGCGGCGTTGGTGTCCGCCGGCCTGATGGCTTCGTCGCAATCTTTCACTACGGCGTGTGCCTTCATCTGAGCAGACCAGACGCCGTAGTTCTCTGGACCGGTGAGCTTGACGATCGTCGCCCTGTTCTCAAGGCTCGTCGTGTCCATGGTCGATTTCTGTTGTCCCTGCACGACGGAGGAGTGACTCGGAGGGATAATGAGCGCAGTGGTGGCGTGGAGAGGGCCCATAACCTGTTGATTTTCTGCCACAGCTGACCTGAGGCACAGTGTCGACCTGCTTTGCTGCACCGCAAAGCAGACACTGTTCCGCCTCTGCACCGGTCAGTATCCTGTGTGTTAAACCTTACTTGTGTGTTGTATGAGGGCATAAACATGCAATATATACTCCTCAAAGAGTGTCTCCTTGCAGCTTCGCCATAGCTGAGGTAGTGTGATGGTCAAGCAACTAGGCTTCTCTGCATGCTTCTCAGCAGCAGCTCCGCAGTGAGTCGGGCTGGACCAGACCAGCGTGAGCCAAAACCTACAATATATGCTTGTGGAATGGCCAGCTGACGCAGCTTGGTGAAAGGGCATCGTTTGACCGGCGCCCACTCCCATACAGCTTTGCTTGTATTGTGCTGTCATGTGTGCTGCCTGCGGGTGTGAATGATCACGTGTATGCAGATATAACAATCTCAAAGGCCTCCCGAGGCCCCGAGGAATCCCGGGGACCCCCTAGAGGTCCCCGGAAAACCCGAAGGATTTCCGAAGGAATCCCGGTTTTTGAAAAACGCAAATTTCCCTCGGAGCCCAAAGTTCCCGAGGATTGCCGAGGGAATTTTCTTACGGGAAACAGGCCGCCCGTGCCCTGCTTTGACCGCTCGTGTGTGATGCATGGGGCTCCGTTTTCGCGGCTGGTGCCGGGCCCCCCCCCCTCTGCCCCGAACGACTTTGAGGTTGGGGGAAGGGTTGCAGCGTTGTGGCTTGGAAGATGGCGGTTTCTTGGGGATTCCCGCGGCCGCAGCCCTGCCTGGTACCTGTGTGTCTGCCGGATCCTTGCTCTCGGTGACTGGCCACTAGCTCAACGTCTGATTGTAACAAACGCGTCGATAGGTTCATCACATGTCAATCGCGCGGCTGAGGTTGTCTTGTTTGCGCATGCCTCGTAGCCTTCCGGGCACGCCGTTCCCGGCGGGCTTGGTGTTGTCGTGCATGGGGCCGCGCCGCGCCGCGCCGCGCTTTGCACCCCTGTTTGCGGACCTGCCTGCACATGACCGCATGCGCGCCCTTGCGCGCAGTGCGGACCAGCATACACTTGGGGCCTTTGTGCATGCCTGCTTCGAACGGCGGACCGGGGCCCCTTGAATCCCTGTCACACATTTCTGATGCTACCAAGTCATATCCCATGAGCCTGGATGGCTCCAGGAGCGGGCGACCGCGGGATCTTGTAACAATCCTAATCCTAATCCTAATCCTAATCCATGGGTTGCCCTCCTCGGCTCGGCCTGCTGTCGAGGCGGAGGGGGTGTCGCCGCTGCCGTGCTCGTGTCCCTGCAATCACCGTGGTCAATGCTCGCTCTCATTTGGCATTGCGCGGTGTGTAGCGCCCAGTGTACGGTCCCCTGGCGGGGCCGGGCGTGGGAAGTCGCATCTGTGCGGGTGTCATCAATCTGTCATGTAACTTCACATTTATTAAAAACAAACGCAAAGCAAGCTACGATGGCCCTGCCACCACCGCTGGCCCCGCCGCTGCTAATGCCACTGCCGCTGCGGCGGTGTATCCTTGCACTGTGTGAACGGTCACCTGATCTGCCTCTTGAGTGTTTCTTCCTGATTTTGCCTATTATCTGCAACAAGTGCAATGAGTGCCCACCTTTTGCCCGAGGTGTGGCTGCAGGGCAGCAGCCCTGCAACGTGGCGGTCGGCCCCGGTGCAGTTGCGCGGAGCGGTGTGCGCAATAGTGCGTTGCGGTTGTGCAGGCAGCACCGCTTGCGTGTTTTCGCTGGAGGGCAGCGGCAGCTTCTGGGTTGCTCGCTGCGAGTCAACCTTGGATAGGCTTCAACTGTTGTTTTGTAACACGTACAAAGCAAACGCAGCACATCTGCATCTGCATGTGTGGGTTGCAATGCAAATGCAATGCAATACGATGCAATGCAATGTCAACCGTCAGATCATTGTCCGGCGGGGTAGGCAAGCCTGCCCTCGAGCGCTGGCAAGCAGGGCCATGATCCTCACTTCCAAGCCTTGACGACCCCGTCTCGGCTCGCACTCAGCAACATGCGCCCATGTGCCGACTCTGCCGCCAAAAGCGCCGTGATACAGTCAGCGTGGCACGTGTCCTGCATCCGCAGCCGGCTGCCCAAGTCAGGCGCAGCGTCAAGACGGGTCTGCGCAGGGCCGATTGGGGGCAGGGCGATCTGGTTGATGCCGTCCAAGCCCACAACATTGCACGGCAACGTTGGCAGCGCACCAGCCATGAGGGACGGCCCCACCAGGCTGACGCACCGCACCATCGGGATGCATTCCAGCAGGCCACCGGCAGGTGTGCTGACCATCCTCACTAGCATTGCTGAGGGTGCAGATCCTGACACTCCAACGTTGTATTCCATACGCCCATGCGATGCCCCCTCCGACCCAACACGTCCACTCACAGGCGTGCTATGATTAAGGGCTGCTCACCTGACGAGTGGTGTCCTCCCGGCCGTGTGAGGCCACCTCCTCCACCACCGGCACACCGGCCACATGGCGCATGTGGTAGCGCCGCAGCGTCACAGGCGTGTGTAGCGTGCTGGTGCCCGGCTCAATGATGCTGTTGGGCCACAAAGGGCCGCAAACCTGCACAGGAACCGGATGGAATGGCTGCGTCAGCGGGTGCATGAACGCGTGGAAGGCGTGTTGGGATGCTGGAGGGTCACCTCTCATGGTCTCATGGACAACACCACAGCAAGTGTCATCGTACCGGTGGCGACAAGCGAATGCGTGTTGCAATCACAACTATCTTGTTGGGAAGGGCTCGCGCGAACCAAATAGGGGAACGCTTGATGTGGCACAGCTGATGGAGGGGATCAAGGGGTCTGCTGCTCATGTACATGCGGAGCTTATACACATTCAACCTGGCCTGAGCTTCCAGACTTGCTCCAAGCACATTGCGTGTGCGTGCGTGTCCGTGCGCGTGTGTGTGTGTGCTTGTGTGTGTGTGTGTTTGTTTGTTTATGGGGAGCCGGTGGGATTGTTCCAGAAGAGGCATTAACACATGCCCCGGCTATGCGCACCTGGTAGGTCCTCTCAGGCCAAGCCGGCTCCCAGCAGCGGATGGCGCAGTCGCCGCCGCCAGCCAACAGCTGCCCGCCCCCCAGCGGCAGCAGCGCGCACGCGTTGTGCGGCCTGCGATGTCAAGGGTGCAGCAATCCCGGGCGTGTGCGACGCCATACGCACGCACGACACCGAGCTCATCGCACGGCTTGTAAGATGCCGCGTCATGGTGCGCCAGGCAGCAAACACGCCCGAACAGCCGCATACACAGCCCTCGTGTGCGACTTTTCCTGGCAAAGGAGTTTCTCAGCATGACAGGCAGGCAGCATGGCAGGCAGGGCCCTGCCTGCACACCCCTGGCCGCCCCACCTGGCCTGCGGCTGGTCCACCTCCTGCAGGAACAGGCTGCTCCTCAGCGCTGCCGCCAAGTCGTCGCCCTCCCCAAGCCCCAGTGCCGCTTGCCCGCTGCCGCCGCTCTCGCGCCGCCACGGCTGCTGGTGTTGCTGCTGCTGCTGCTGCTGCTGCTGCTGCTGCTGCTGCTGCTGCTGCTGCTGCTGCTGCTGCTGCTGCTGCATCGCACCCGGAGAGAGCAACGGCGCCGCGCCCGATAACATGGGCGCGGCCGTGATGCCGCCACCGCCGCGGCCGCCTCCGCCGCCGCCGCTGCCGGCGAGGCCCAAGCTTGCGCGAGGGGGGCTGCTGGCGGGGGGCGGCGTGAGCGCGGAGGGCACGTCTAAGCAGCCCGACTCCGCCTCTTCTGATGTGAGGGTGCGTAGCACCTGGGCGACGAAGGGTCACCGAGTGGCAGGGGCGCATGCCAGGATCAGGTGGCAGCAGAGCGAAAGACAGGGGGGAATACGGTGGGAGAGGCAGGCCACCTGGTGCCCCGACGCCTATCCTGTGTGGGTCCCCCCTGCTGCCGCACACATGCACGCACGCACGCGTGGACACGCACGCACGTGCGTGCAGCCTGCACCTCTCAACACACAAGGCACGAACCACGCCGTGAGCAAGGGCTGGGCGAGAGCGAGCAAGACCGGGAAAAAAGGGGACTCAGGAAAAGCAGACGCACGCGTGCCGCTCACACACCACACTCGCGAGCGCATGCACACACATTCATGCGCCGCACCTGCAGACAGGTCCCTGCCGCCACGTCCCACAGGCCGACCTCTCCGTGGCCCGCGGCCACGTACACCAGCGGGGCGCCCGGCGTGGGGAGCGCGCCGCCGGACAGGCCGAGGCGCGAGGGCGCGGCGGTGGCGGCCGCCATTGCGTCGATGGAGCACCTGGTGGTGGGCGGTGTGTGGGGAGACCGTTACGTGGACGATGGGGGGGGGGGCTGGGAGGCGGACTGTGCGCGGCAGCAGGCGCGCCGACGCCGAGCTGGGAGGAAGGCGCGGGGCCAGCTCGGCCCACGGCAGTGGTTGCGGGGGGGACCAAATGGAGTGTCTCGAGCGCGGTTGGTAAGGTAGGGGCCGCACCGCCGACGCGGGTGAGCGGCAGGCATGGCGCGCGCGCCCGTTCCTCCCCCGACCCCCGCCCCCGGCAAAGCCTGCGCCGCCCGCTCCTCGCGCCCCGTGCCCGTGTGCCCGCGCTGCACCTGGCGGGGTGCTGCCAGGTGTTGGCGTTGAGCAGGAAGCGCACGTCCCACAGCCTGAGCCAGCCCCTGCTGGTCGCCTGCAGCAGCCAGTGCTGGCCAGAGGGGTCGGTCACCACCTGCCACGGCAAAGGCGGGGAGAGGGGGCCGTGGATGCGGCAGTTGGGTCACCACATGGGTGGTGGTGGGTAAGGGGGTGGGGTGGGCGTTGACAGGTGGCACGCACAGGACGTGGCGTCCCACAGAGGGGGGAGAGCGAGATAACCATTATGCTGGTGAACGTCTTGCTTGGGGAGCAGGCGCACGGTGTGAGCGTGCGGGGGGCTGTTTTTCGCCCCTCGCAGCGGTTGTCGAGGATGCAGGCGCCCGATACGACTCGCTGCGCCGGTTCGAGGGGGCAGCGCGCCTGCGATATGCCGGTGCCGGTGCCTTGACCCCCAGGCGCGCCTATCTAATGCATGCCCCGCGCCCCAACGATGCGAATCGCCACCAGCAGCCGTGTACATCTGTCGTGGCAGTCCAGATTTTGAATCTGCCGGCAACCGCCGCTGCATTCGGGAAGCAGCAGCTCGGCACCCTGTCAAAACACGCAGCCAAATAGACCCAATCGGAACACCAACCGTCGGCACCAAACCCCTGCGCGCCTGCTGCAGGACCCCGAGGCGCGGCGGCGCGGGCACGACCCAGGCGTCGCGCTCCATCCGCAGGTCCATCCCGTGCACGCCGCCGCGCTGGGTGGTGTAGGTCATGAGGGGGGGCGCGGCCCCCCACTGCTGCACGTCCAGGACTCGGCCCTCCCCGGGGGAGACCTGGCGGCGCACGGTGATGCCTGGTGTGCGGGGTTGGGATTTGTGAGCGTGTGTGTTTGTTTGTGTGTGTGTGTGTGTGTGTGTGTGTGTGTGTGTGCGCGCGTGCGGGCGTGCATGTGTGTGCGTGCGTGTGTGCGCATGCGCGCGTGTGTGTGGCCCAGGTTTATGAAATGCCAGGTCACGATAGCTTTGCGTCTGTGTTTTGCTGATCACCATTCATCTGACCGTGTGTGCCACGACCGCGCCATTTTGGCCGTGTTAGGGGCGCAAGGAGGGAGCATGGTGCTCCGCACGCCTGATGAGTCACAAAAGCGCACGCCTGCGCACTTGCATCTGCGCACAGGCTGTTCCCGCCTCCCCCTGACGCACGAAAGCACACGTGCGCGCACGCGCCGCCCCGCCGCGCACCCGTGTACTTGTCCGGCGCCCCGCCGCCCGCCCTGGCCGTGTACTCGACCCGCCACACGTGCAGCGACCCGCTGGCGCTGGCGCTGGCCGCGGACTGGCCGTCCTCCACGCCCGCCACCGCCAGGATGGCGCCGCTCTGGCCCGCGTACGTCAGACGGCTGCGGAAGGACACGTCGCGCTCCAGGCGGCGCACATCCCACACCTTTTTTTTGGGGGGGGGGGGCAGGGGTTTTCAGCCGGTGGGCCGGGGTTTTGCGCCGGCGGGGCGGGGAGCCAGGCGGCGCGTCGGGCGAGCGGAGAGGGGCGACAGAGGTAGGGCGGGGTTGAGGCAGCCCCGGAGCTGGGGTGGGGGGTGGGGTGACAGGGTGGGCGCCATACGGAGCCGCGGCGGTTCTAGGGAGGCAGCGGATCCGTCCCAACGACGAGAGGCTGCTCGCCGGCGCAGCACAGCCGCCGCATCCCAGCGACCCCCACCCAGTCGCCCCGCCAGACTCTGACAGCCCCAGAACCCGGAGAAAAACAACCCCCTCTTCTCTCGCGGCTTGCCCCGGCCATTGTCTCTCACCTTGACGGTCTCGTCGTCCGATGCGCTGAGCAGCAGCTGGCCGTTGCCCGAGAGTGCGAGGCGGTTGACGGCCCGGCGGTGCTCCGCTAGGTGGCTCACCTTTAAGGGGGAGGGTGGAGGGTGGTGGTGGTTGTGTTTGATGTATGTGAGGGGGGGGAGATCAGGGTGGGTGGTTCGGGCAGCGTGGAGGGAGGGT